CCCGGGGCCGGCGCTCCCTGCGCCAAGCGCCACGCGCCTGGAGCCGGTGCTCCCGCTCACCCCCCCCCTCCCGCCGGCACTCACCGGGCGCCACGTGCCTGGGGCCAGCCCCAAGCACCGTGTCAGGGATCAGGTATGTATGCGCGGCGTATAACACGACCCCCCCATTTTTGGGGGATGTTTTTTAGTGTAAAAGGTCGTGTTATACGCCGGAAAATACGGTACTCCAACTGAGGCCTAACCAGCGCAGACTGGAGTGGAAGAATGACTTCTCATGTCTTGCTCACAACACACCTGTTAATGCATCACAGAATCATGTTGCTTTCTTTGCAACAGCATCACACTGCCGACTCATATTCAACTTGTGGTCCACTATAACTTCTAGATCCCTTTCTGCCGTACTCCTTCCTAGACAGTCGCTTCCCATTCTGTATGTATGAAACTGATTGTTCCTTCCTAAATGGAGCACTTTGCATTTGTCTTTATTAAACTTCATCCTGTTTACCTCAGACCATTTCTCCAATTTGTCCAGGTCATTTTGAATTATGACCCTATCCTCCAGATTAGTCGCAATCCCTCCCAGCTTGGTATCTGCAAACTTAATAAGCGTGCTTTCTATACCAATATCTAAATCGTTGATGAAGATATTGAACAGAGCCGGTCCCAAAACAGACCCCTGCGAAACCTCACTTGTTATGCCTTTCCAGCAGGATTGTGAACCAATAATAACAGTTTTTATATCCCTAATGGTTCTTATGCAAACCTGCTAGGCAATATACCTGTGCAGAGCCTGGAATTCAGTAAACAAATCAGAAGATGCAAATGGAATTGTGGACTTAAAGCAAGCTCCTGAGGGTGGCTGGGGTATGCATGCTGATTTGGGCCTGAATCTGTCTCTGAAGCTTGCTCTTGAAGTGTGGGTACTTGTGCCAAGATGGCTGTTCTCAGTGAGTTAAAAGGGGCTATTGTTGAACAGATTCTGAAAAAGTGAGGAACACGTGCATTTTAATACCCAACATGGGCATCCACTGAGGTGGCTCTCATGGTTCTACCCAGATGGCTTATAAGAGCATAACCGAGGAATAATTATATAAACTCCTATTCCATGATGTGATCCCCAGCAGTAAGGTTGGTGAGGGAAGCACTACCACTTTCTAATACTTGATAATTTATCAGAAAAATTGTTCTGCATTGTTGATCATATTAACATGTTTATACAAAATACTACAAAAATATCAAACTCAGTTACATCTATTGATCTACCAAGATCCATACTAACTTAATATTTGTATCTTTTTGTAGAAGACAGTGAAGTGTGTTTAGGAAAACAACCTGTTAGGCTGATTTATTTTTCTCCTTCCATGTGGGCCAAGGGTAAAGATGTTTTATTTGATCTCCACGCAAACTCGATGCAATTCTGTTAGACTCGCCCAGCAATTCTGTTAGACTAGCCCCGTGTTTCTCAACTTTTTTTTTTAATATAAAGTACCCCTTTAAAAAAAGAAAAGTACCCCCAGTCCTTACAGTTTTCGGACACAATTTTTTTGTACTATTGCAACACATTCGTTCAAACAACTTAATCGTAGCTGGGCAGGCAATGAAATTTTTGGGTGTAAAAAGTACAAAAATAACAAAGCACTGTAAAACTTCACTTTTCTCCAAATTTCAGTTGTTGACGTACCCCCCTCCCCCCTCAAGTACTCCTAAGGGTACTCCTACCACTGGTTGAGAAACACTAGATTAGGTAACCATTCAGGCTACAGATTTGTGTCTACTTTTGTGAGATTCACTTGTTTTGAAAGGGGCAGTAACTCTGAATTGTAACAATCCCTTGTTATGTAGGTGATACTAACCTCATGGGTGGAAAAAGTCCATTTTATATAGCAATTCATAATCCCAACAAATGCATTTCAGCAAAGCTTATATGGGGAAAAATTGCCTGTACTGTTTAATGGAGAGTTGGCCTGTGTTCCAGGGATTTAAAATCAAATGTAACTAAAGTGTGTATGTTTTCTCTTCTCTCTTAGGAAATTGAAGTAGGGGGTGGTAGAAAAGCAATCATAATCTTTGTACCAGTTCCTCAGCTGAAATCTTTCCAGAAGATCCAGGTCCGACTAGTTCGTGAGCTGGAGAAAAAATTCAGTGGCAAGCATGTGGTGTTCATTGCTCAGGTAAACAGTTGACTATTTGTGATTTATTGTTCTATCTGTGTTCGTGCCCTGACCCTAATCAGGCTGGGGAAGTAAACATAGTGCATGTGTTTTGTGGCTGTAGATTAAATCCCTTTCTACCTGTGTTTTCACATAAGTCTCCATTATTTACTAGGGCTTCAATACTGTAGTATTCACTGCATAGTCTTACAGTATTGGAACTCTTAACACACGCACCTTCCCAGTTAAACAATGAAGCTTTTCAACACAAGAGATGCATCCTGTGATGTACTGGTTTAACTACAGGGATGTTTTGTGCCTAAACCAGTGTGAAGTTCTATGTGGACATTCTAATTTTAGAATGTTGTTTTAAGCTAAACCAGGGTCACTCTTACCCATGCAGAACCTTATCTTGGTTTATCTCCTGGGGGGGTGGGTGGGTGGGTGGGTGTGTGTGTGTTGGGTGTGGGGGGGGGGGGGGGGGGTGGGGGTGTGTGTGTGTGTGTGTGTGTGTGTGTGTGTGTGTGTGTGTGTGTGTGTGTGTGTTTTAAGAGTAAATGTGTCGGATATGACTTCCTCAGACACAGCACAGGTGTACAAAGAACTGACACTGGGAGCAGAGTACTAACAATCTTGAGATTAATGTAGCAGGAAATCGCAGTGGGCAAAAGTCGCAGAAGGGTATTTTAGTAGCTGTTTCTAGATGGGTCTCTTCTCCTTTCCATATGGGAAAACCGATTATCTTGGCTATTAGCGCTATTAAATGTCAGTTACTCAAACTGGTAGGTTTGGGCAAAGTCTTTGAACTTCTTTCCCCTGAATGTGTGTGTGGGGGGGGGGCATGAGCATTTGAGATTTTTCACAATGCGCTGTAGACATTGAATTGATTATAAAGCTGAACTTTTAACAGTTGGAATGTGGCTTGGGCTATTCCTCAAGCTTTCTTTCATGCTGTGTGGAAACAATTGTAGGACTTATGCAGGCAAGTGGTAACCCCTGAAAAACTTCAGACTTTCAATATCCATCTGAAAATGTAATTCTGAGATTAGTGACTAAATGTTTCATGAGGCTTGATATCACTACTTTTCACAGAGAAGGATTTTGCCAAAACCAACAAGAAAAAGCCGTACAAAAAACAAGCAAAAACGTCCCAGGAGGTGAGTAACTTTAATGCTGAAATGTGTGCCTTTCTCCTATGCGACTTGTATAACAGCCGTTTAGATCATAAGTAAGGGATCTGAGGAATAAATACAGATAAATACACTTGGGCATTGATTCTGCAAAAACTCAGTCTAAATGCTTTTGTGCCTGATTTTCTGGCCTTACATGGAAACTGATACAACATTTTAACTATGTTGTACATATTTTTCAATCTCCATTACATCTACTTTTTTCCTTCTACAGTACTTGGTAGCAAAATATTTGCTAAAAGAAGTTACAGAACTTCTTTCTTTTCCCTGATCTGCCCAGCTACTATGTCTGTGACCATCTTGGAAATCAGCGAGCTAAACAATGTATCTAAACTGAGTAATTTAAGTGTGTTGTATTCCTCCCACCCTCCCCTTGACCAATAACTTTATGTTAATGAGTTCATGTCCTTTCCCTGGATGGTCATCTGCACAACAAATAATTCAGTGCAAGGAGTTATGTACTGGTACTGACTAGGCAAGGTACAGTTTTAATGATCTGTGTGCATGCTGAAGAATGTAGCTATGACCCATCCATTTATTTTGCCTTAAGAGATTGTGTGTGTGTGTGTGTGTGTGGAATTTGAGTCAATTTACTTTTATAGTTGTGCTTGTTGCTAGGATGAGTTGTGGGGGGGGAGAGGAGGCTGGGCTTGTATGGGAATATGTGATCCAGGAGGGACTTTATTATTTATTTATCTTTTAATTTGGTGTAGAGCTAAACCAAGGGTGGGCAATATTGTTTTGTTTTTTTGCCGGGGGCCACTTCAAAAACAAAAGGGGCAGAGCCAGGATGCTTTGCCCTCCTCCCTACTCCCAGGCCCTAATCAGCCTGGGGTCAGTGAAGCAGCAGGGTCTCCGCAGGTCTTTTGTCCACCCCTGAGCTAAACTCTAACACAGAGGTGGGGAACTTTTTTGGGGCCAGGGGCTGCTGGCCTACAGAAAAATTGGGAGTGGGGGGGCACACACAAGTTTAAAAAAAAAAAAAAAACTCACTGACATGGCCCCATCTGAGAATGAGACACTCTTCTCATTCTGCTTGTACATAAGAGCCTAGGGGGGCCAGCCTAGAAGATTTTGTGTTCCAGTCCTGTGGTGGGATAGTGTGGGGGTTGGAGTGCCAGCAAAGGCTCCTCAACGTTAGGGAGGCCCCTGAGCCCTGGGGGCCGAATCTAGGGGCCTGAGGTCCCTCCCCCGCTCTGAAGAGTTGTCGCAAAAAAAGTGTCATTGGTTCTCAATTCAAATCCGAGTAACAGTTGCTTTTGCCAAACATTTCTCTAGCTAGTTGGTCTGCCTGAAATTGTGGACTACTGTCTGTATTCAATGGTACAAGTATCAAGTGCAAATGACTCATTCTGGGGTGCAATGTCAAGGATCACACTTCATGCTCCGGAACATGTGTAAATGGGTAGTCAATGAACTTAATAGGGCACATAACAGTAATATTTGATCCTTGCAGTATGGATTTGATTAGTGATTTAAATCACTAGTCTAGAACACTCACTTTGAACATAATTTTCTACATAAAAGTGCATTCTTGTTGGTTTGTCATACATCAGCTGTGGCCAACCCATGGCTCATGAGCATCATGCTCCTCCCCCCCTCCCTCCCCAAAGTGCAGCTTGTAAAGCCCCTAGAAACAGCCCCTGGTTCCCTGTGCTCACTGGGTGCTGGGGAGCCATCTGGTGCGTTGAAGCAAAATGGCGCCAGCCAACTGGACCCTGATGTGGGCAAAAAGCCAACGTGAGGGTTTTTTAAAGGGGCAGTGTCTTTTTTCCTCAACAACCTTCTCCTTCTCCCTTGTCTCCCCCTATATATGCTATATAACTATTTTGGCCCTTTGCGTGTAATGGGTTGGCCACTCCGTCATACATATTCTTCACAATTCACAGATGCAGGTTATATTTTTAGAAGTTACACTACATTTTTGAACAGTGATTTATTTTGAAAACTTTAGATTCATTTTCTGATATATCTGTAAAACTAGTGATTATTTGGTTATTTCATTTACCAAAGGTAATTGAATCAGATCTTTAGGAAGTCATTCAGAGGTGAAATATCTCCAATTCCACAGGTGAATAATTAATATTTGGAGGATTTTCTTGCCATGCTGTGTTAGGAGAAGGAGGAAATCACCAAATAGACATTTAAATTGCTTTATTTAACTAAAACAACATTGTGTATTCTGAATGTTTTTTCCCTTCAACAGCAAACATAATATCTTAACAAACAAGCATATGAATTTTTGAAGTTAAACATCCAAGTTTTGTTAAAATTAACTAAAATAGTTAAATATTTTTTTAAACAAATTAAATTGACTTTCAGGTCAGCATGAGAAACGTAAAATATTAGCTTCTATTCATTGAACTTATTGAAACTTTGCACTTTTAGAGAGAGGGAAAGGATTGACTGTACACAAATTTGCAGAGGGGCATTAGGGTTGAGCTCTGTTCACCTTTCTTTATTCAGTCATTCACACATTCATTTGTTTTTGTTAACAAACATCTTATCTCTGGAGAGACAAATCCACAATTTTGAGAAGTGCATCTCTGATAGTATCTTCTAGACCTGTGGTGTCCAACATGCTAGCCGCTAGTCACATGTGGCTATTTGGTTGGTTAAATGTCTCGTTCACGATAGCAGTAGCCCCTATAATGGCTACTGTCAAACTGGTTGGACACTTCAGTTCTAGACTCTACACTGAGTCCCATTGGTTAGGTAGATTAACCTATATCTATACAGAAGCCCCATAAGATTGGGTTTCTAATCTATGGACTACTAGAAATCATTTACAAAACTTTTCTTAAATTACTAAGGGCCATTGCCCCCTGTTTCCTATGCTCGCTAACCCCCCTCTTTGGGGATAGGCAGCCCTGGCCACCATGGAGGACTGGGCCGAGGCATGGCAGCTCTGGACTGGCTCGTCTCTTTCTTGTTTGGCCAGCCACCGGGGAATTAGGCCGAGGGCATGACTGGCCCAGCTCTCTCCCTCTGGCCTGGCTTCCAGGAATTGGGCTGGACCGAGGAATCCCTGGCTCTCCCCAGCCACAGGGAGGGACCGGGCCTCGCTTTTCCCCTGACTGGCCACTTCCTCATCCCTTGCTTCTCCCCTCCCTTCCCCCTCTCCCCCTGCCACATTCCTACTCTCTGACCAGGACCAAGCAGTGCTGGGCCTTGCCTCCCTCTTCTCCCCTCCCTCCC